GCGAACTGGTAGGAACCCACCTCTGGCCCAAAGACACCCAACTGTCTACCATTCCTAAAGCAGGACTAGAACGCTCAATCGCCTAGTGATCATCTTAAAGTTACCCAGCTGGCTTTCATGCCTGAAATGAGTCTAGAACTCACCGTCTCCTGTTTCCGAACCTGGTGCCTTCACCACTAGACCAAACTTGCTCTCCAAATGCAATGAAATGATGATCTGTTTCCTCTAAAGCTCAGCAATCTTTTTTCCCCCCCAATCCAGGGGGTTTGGGCCAAAGGATACCGATCTTGCATATTGATAGGGCGGTTGTAACAAGCCCATATTAAATTAAGCGTTCCCTAGAAGTCATTGCATTCTTGCTGGGCAATTACACCTACCTTGTATAATCTAATGAGCTGTTACTTTGCCCTAATGTAACATTTCAAGGAGCCCGTATCATCTCTTTCTCCCATGCCCATCTTCTTCACAGCTTGCTGCACACGAGAGATAATTGATTTGTTAAACTAAATCCCAATGATACACCCCCAGTCTCCGTTTTTGTCCTGGAGTCCTTTCACACACACACAGACACACACACACACACACACACAGACACACACACACAAGCTGGATACCCATGCTTCGCTACAAAGCCATGTGATCGGGCTCGCTAAATTTATGATCGGGCCTGATCAATTGACACTTAAAGCTTGAAAATTAATGAGTAGTTAAAAAAGGCACTGCCTTATTTCGTTAGAGAAAGTAAGCTAAGTTTCTGTTGCAGATGAAGAGACGATTGTAAGTCTAACAACAATAAAATAGAAAGGCTTGATCCCTTTAAATCCCACCAGCACCCAGTTGCAGCTGGCAGTCGGAACAGAGTTCTTTTCAGGCGGGGAGGGGGAGTAGAACTCCTTAGCATCAGAGCGTGCTAATTACTGTATAAGAAATACTCATGATCTGATGGTCATTTAGACAAATCCTTTCTTAGTGAGAAGCCGAGAGGAACATATCAAGTTTTAGGCTTTGCGGTTTTGGAGATTTTGTGATTATATATATATAAATATATATTTCCTCCTTCTCAGATTCGTTTTGTCTTTAAGAATGGAAAAGCGAGAAGCGAGGTTTTTTGGTGACGAAACGCAACATCATGGAAAGGTCAGCTTGGCAATCTATTCGCAAGAGATAACCTGGCAATACTAATGAATTATTTTCATTGCAAAGCAGGGATATAAAGGGGGGGAGGGGGTGCGCTGCCTTTCTTAGAATATAAATGGAACCTAGGATATATATGCAGGCTGAATTTGAGACTCCCGTATTGAGAGCAGGAGGTGTCTCATGTACCTCCTGAGGCAGTATAGAAGAAACGGCATTCTAAGATCAGTGGATTGCATCAATAAAAGACAATGTTAATATATGGCAACTGGCAGTTGGAGCAGAGTTCTTTTCAGATGGGGAGGGGGAGTAGAACTCCTTAGCATCAGAGCATGTTAATTACTGATTAAGAAATTCTAATGATCTGATGGTCATTTCAACAAATCCTTTCTTAGCGAGGAAACTTTAGAATTGGATAGTTGGTTCTGGCCAGTCGTAGGATTCAATTTTTTTTCTTACTACAGGTTCTGTGGGCGTGGCTTGGTGGGCATAGCAGGGCAAGAATATTGTAAAATCCCAATTTCCTTCTGATCAGATGGAATTTTGGAGGCAAAGAATAGATGGGGGTGGGGCCAGTTAGCGCAGGTATTGATTGGTTCTCCAAACTACTCAAAATTTCCACTACTGGTTCTCCAGAACTGGTCAGAACCTGCTGAATACCACCTCTGATGCTGGGTTGCTGAGTTGGAGTCCTGGTTAACTTGCATCTCCAAGTGATGGCTTCAATATTTGGCTTCCTTCATGCTCTCTGAAGTTGGTGGTTTTCTTGCAGATGTTTCATGACCCAACTAGGGTAACATCATCAGTGCTAGAAAAGAGTGGTTTGTGGAATGATGGAGGAGGAGGAAGAAGAGGAGGAAGAGGAGGAGGACTTGAGTTTTTGGTATTCTGTGAGCTTGGCTGTTTTCCTCCAGACATTTCATGACCCAAGTTGGTAACATCATCAATGCTAGAAGAGAGTGGGACAAAGATGTCGGTGGATCAAACTATTCTCCAAAGCATCTGAAGGCAGGAAAAAAGCAATGGATGGAAACCTATCAAGGAAAGAAGGAACCAAAAGCTTCATGAAATCTCACATCAGGGAGAACAACTAACCAGTGGAACAATTTGCCTCCAGAAGTTGTGAATGCTCCAACACTGGTGGTTTTTAAGATGATGTTGAACAACCACTTGTCTGAAGTGATGTACGGTCAATAGGATTCAACCTGAGTTTATTTAACAGGCCTAAAATGCACATTTTCTAAAGACAAGTGAAAAAGGTTAGCCAGTGCCGGGTGCCCAAACCACGTGCACGAAACCCCAAACTGCAGTATGAGTTCCTCCCACGCAATGTGCCCCACCCCTGCATATGTGCACCATCCCCTGCGCATGTGCACCGCCAAGGGGTGGGTTGCCACCAGCATCACTG